AGAATTGCTGGATAGTGGTGATGAATACTTGCCACTGGATGCAGAGGTGTCAAGTGATGAGGAGGAAGAAAGGCCAGCCAAAAAGCAGAAATTAGTGAAGAAAAAGAAAGGTATTACGATCGAGGAGTACCCTGATGAGGAAGATATTTATGAAGATATTGCTCTTCAAGGTCCATCTCAGTGGTCTCAGGTTGACCTCAAAAATGATCCTTTGCCGGCATATAAACATGAAAAGCCTCTTGTAATTAGGTCTCCATATGAGTATTTTTCTATTTTCTGTACTCCAGACATGGTAGATAACATAGCATATCAAACAAATTTGTATGCCAAGCAAAAAAACATAAATAATAATTTTGCAACAGATTCTGAAGAGATCATGAGGTTCATAGGTATTTTATTGTTCATGGGTATTGTGTTGTTCATGGGTATTGTTCAATTACCATCACTTGAAGACTATTGGAAAAGTGCATTTAGGATCCCCCAGGTTGCAAAAGTCATGGGGTCTAAGAGGTTTAGGTTACTTAGACGTGCTATTCATTTCAATGACAACACAGAAAAGGATAATGACAGATTCCACGGACTAGCAAGGACTACCATACTATGAATTAGGAACAAGAATAATTGGTCTTCCTCATGAATCTCAGGAATATGGGACTTAAAAGTTTTATCCCTTTGCAATGTGTCCTTGTTGCTATTTGTTTCATTTTTATATTTTTCTAATACATACAAACTGTTTTGATACAAGTTCCATTTATGTTTTTGATATTGTCTGTTTGTATAATAAATTTAAAAAATAGTTATTGGGTGTTTTATTAACAATTGCACAGTTTGCAACATTCAGATTTATACTCCCTTTGTCGGGCAAGGGCGTAAATTTTCGTGCTTCGGAGATTTGCAGTTGCTTGAAAACTAACCATCAGAATTCCATTTATATAGGCTCATTGACCTTATATTGAGTTAGTCTATCCACCATAGGGAGTTCAGTTCTAATTTCTAATTTTATGGCCACTTGCCCGATAAAGGGTTAAGTGCTCCATCCCTATTAAGTGCTCCATCCCTATTAAGTGCTCCATCCCTATTAAGTGCTCCATCCCTATTAAGTGCTCCATCCCTATTAAGTGCTCCATCCCTATTAAGTGCTCCATCCCTATTAAGTGTTCCATCTCTCTAAAGTGCTCCATCCCTCTGAAGTGTTCCATCCCTCTGAAGTGTTCCATCTCTCTAAAGTGCTCCATCCCTCTGAAGTGCTCCATCCCTCTGAAGTGCTCCATCCCTCTGAAGTGCTCCATCCCTATTAAGTGTTCCATCCCTCTGAAGTGCTCCATCCCTCTGAAGTGCTCCATCCCTCTGAAGTGCTCCATCCCTCTGAAGTGCTCCATCCTGACTGACTTTGGCCAGTTACTGGGTTGTGAAGGACCTGCCATATTATGGCCAACAGACCTACAGGCAGTGTTCTTCTTTCTTATGTAAAATAAGTCAGTGATTGTTATGTGTTAATCCTGGGTAAATAAACACATATGTTGCCTATTATGAAAATGTAAGTGTATATTATGTGAACCTGAATAAAAACTTACTACGAAGTGTTTAAGTGCTATAATAACACAAATTCAATAACACACTTATAAAATAGTAAATAAACCAGACTAAACTTACAAAAATCTGGAGAGAACAATAAACCTAACACCTCATTCACTCTCAAGTGTCCCGTCAATACCTGTCCAAACTCGTCTATTAACTGTCCAACACTCCGTCAAATACCTGTCCAATACACCGTCAAATACCCGTCCATACTCCGTCTAATACCTGTTAAACACTCCTCTAATTACCTGTCCAACATCCGTCAAATACCTATCCAACACTCCGTCAATACCTTCCCAACACTCCGTCTAATACCTGTCCAATGTCCCTCTAAATACCAGTCCCAACTGTCCGTCTAATACCTCCCAACACTCCGATCTAATACGTCCAACTGTCCGTCCTAATACCTGCCCAACACTCCGTCTAATACCTTCCACTGTCCGTCTAATACTTCCAACACTCCCATCAAATACCTTGTCCAATACTCGTCCTAATACCTGTCCAAACTCCGTCTAAATACCTGTCCAATACTCTGTCAAATACCTGTCCAATACTCCGTCTAATACCTGTCCAACACTCCCGTCTAATACCTGTCCAACACTCCTCAAATACCTATCCAACACCTCCGCTAAATACCTTCCCAACACTCCCGTCCCTAATACCTGTCCAACTGACCGTCTAATACCTGCCCAACACTCCGTCCTAATACCTGTCCAACTTTCCGTCTAATATCCTGCCCAACGCACCGTCAAATACCTGTCCCAATGTCCTCTAATACCTGCCCAACACTCCGTCTAATACCTGTCCAACTGTCCACTAATACCTGTCCAACACTCCTCTAATACCTGTCCCAACTGGACCCCGTCTAATCCTGCCCATACACTCCGTCTAATACCTGTCCAACACTCCATCAATACCTATCATCCGTCTAACACCTGTCCAACACTCCGTCTAATACCCGCCAACCTCCGTCTTAACACCTGTTCCCAACACTCGTCTTAATACAGTCCAACACACCGTTACCACCTGTCCAACACTCCCGTCTAATACCTGTCCAACACTCCGTCTAACACTGTTCAAAAAAAAAAAAATAAAAAAAAAAAAAAAAAATAACACTCTGTCTAACACCTGTCTCAACACACCGTCTAATACACTGTCCAACACACCAACCACCTGTCCAACACTCCTGTCTATACCTGTCCAACACTCCGTCTAACACCTGTCCAACACTCCGGTCTAATACCTGTCCAACACTCCGTCTAACACCTATCCCAACAGACTTCAAATACCTGTCAACATCCGTCTAACATCCACACCTGTCTAACACTCGTCTAACACCTGTCCAACACAGTCTAATACCTGTCCAACACTCCGTCTAACACCTGACCAACACAGACCTAATACCTGTCCAACACTCCGCATCTAACACCTGTCCACACTCCAATCTAATACCGTGTCCAACACTCCGTCCTAACACCTTTCTAACACTCCCGCTAACACCTGTCCAACATCACCGTCTAATACCTGACTCAACACTCCGTAATCCACCCTAATACCTGTCCAGCACTCCGACCAATACTTGGCCAACACTCCGTCTAATACCTGTCCAACACTCCGTCTAATACCTGTCCAACACTCCGTCTAATACCTGTCCAACACTCCGTCTAATACCTGTCACAAACACTCCGTCTAATACGTCCAACACTCCGTCTAATACCGTCCAACACTCCGTCGAAAACCTGTCCCCAACAGTCCCCCCTCCTTCTAACACCTGTCCAACCTCCGTCCTAATACCTGTCCAACACTCCGTCAAATACGTCCAACACCCCGTCTAATACCTGTCCAACATCTCCGTCTAATAACCTGTCCAACACTCCGTCTAATACCTTCCAACACCCCGTCTAATACCTGTCCCAACACTCCGTCTAAACCTGTCCAACACACCCGTCCAAATCCTGTCCAACCACTCCGTCTATACCTGTCCAACACTCCGACTAATACCTGTCCAACACTCCGTCAAATACGTCCTACACTCCGTCTAATACCTTTCCCAACCACTCCGTCTAATACCTGTCCCAACACTCCGTCTAATACCTGACGCCACACTCCGTCTAACACGCTGTCCAACACCTCCGTCAAATAACCTGTCGCAACCTCAGTCTTAATACCTTCCAACACCCCGTCCTAATACGGTCCAACACTCCGTCTAATACCTGTTCCAACACTCCGTCCTAATACCTGTCCAACACTCGTCTAATACTTCCACACTCTCTAATACCTGTCCAACACTCCGTCTAAAACTGACCCATCACTTCGTCTAATACCTGTCCAACACTCCGTCTAATACCTGTCCAACACTCCTTCTAACACGTCCAACCACTCCGCTAATACCTGTCCACACTCCATCTAATACCTGTCCCAACACTCCCGTCTAATACTCCAACACTCCGTCAAAACCTGTCCAACACTCCGTCTTAATACCAGTCCAACACTCCGTCTAAAACCTTTCCAACACTCCCCACTAACACCTTCCAACACCCGTCTAAATACCTGTCCAACACTCCGTCTAATACGTCCAACACTCCGTCTAATACCTGACTCAACACTCTGTCCTAATACCTGTCCAACACTCCGTCTAATACCTGTCCAACACTCCGTCTAATAGTCCAACACCCCGTCTAATACTGTCCAACACTCCGTCTAACCTGTCCAACACTCCGTCTAATACCTGTCCAACATCCGTCTAATACTGCCCAAAACACCCGTCTAACACCTGTCCAACATCGTAATACCTGTCCAAACCCTCAATCCGCCAACCTCCGTCTAATCCCTGTCCAACACTCGTCTAATACCTGTCCAACACTCGTCTAATACCTGTCCAACACTCGTCTAATACCTGTGCAACACTCCGTCTAATACCTGTCAACACTCCGTCTAATACCTGTCCAACACACCGTCTAATACCTGTCCAACACTCCGTTTAATACCTTGCCAACACTCTAATACCTTCCAACACGTCTAATACCTGTCCAACACACCGTCTAATACCTGTCCAACACTCCGTCTAATACCTGTCCAACACTCCGTCTAATACCTGTCCAACACTCCGTCTAATACCTGTCCAACACTCCGTCTAATACCTGTCCAACACTCCGTCTAATACCTGTCCAACACTCCGTCTAACTGTAACACTCGTATACCTGTCCAACACTCCGCCTAATACTTGTCCAACACTCCGTCTAATACCTGTCCACACGTCAATCCCTGTCAACATCCGTCTAATACTTTTGTCCAACACTCCGTCTATACCTGTCCAACACCCGTCTAATACTGTCCAAACATCCGTCTAATACCTGTCCAACACTCCGTCTAATACCTGTCCAACACACCGTCTAATATCTGTCCAACACACCGTCTATTACCTGTGCAGTTCAAACTTGTTGTTGTTGTTGGGTTGTTAAGGGCGACTCTCAGTTACACTTTATCCAGCTCAACTTCCCGGATGAAGATAAACAGTTTAAAATAGACACAAACTCATAATACTTTCGTGTTTTTGACAAATTTCTGGCACACAGTGATGTTATCTAGTACAACAAAGATCTACCTGAGAGAGGCTAACTTGGTATATATAACGAGAATAGTGACGGAATGGCAAGTAGGTTTTGTGCATGTTAGGATAATGATGAAAGTTTACACTGACAAGGGGTTGAGCTATGTTGTAAAAAGTCGTTGTTGGGGTTGAAATTGTTGGATATAAAGAAAAAAGATGATTCAAGATCTTGTGTCTCTAAGTGTTTTATTCCTGGCAATGAATCTTGCTTCTTTGTAGTTGATTGAGTGGTTGTTAAGTTTCGGTGTAAAACAGGCATTCTTCAAGTCTTCCTTTCTGCTGTATGGTATTGCTGTTCTGAAATAATTAGTAAGTAAGTTTGTTCAGGTATACACAAATAAAGTTACATAGATTTTCTACATAGCAGCATAGTGTGAAGTACCTGGATAAAACCCAAAAAAAATCATAGTGACTTATTTCCATTTGGGTCCTTTTAACTTATTGCTATAATAAAAATGGTGAAATATCTTATTATTACACTTAAAAAGGGGATAAAACTAGGAAAAAAGGGAAGACTACATGTGTCTTAGCTAAAAAAAAAATAATTAAAAAAAAAAACATTCTCCTCACCTTCTTTAGCTAATTCATTAGACTTCTTTTGGCTCTCTTCTTGAACTGTTCATGCTAAGACTGGCTTTTTGATATATGCGAGCAATCTGTTCCATTTCACTTATTGATGTAAACTAAAAGGTATTTTGAAGCCTGACCACTAACTGTTGGTACAAACAAAATTGTTGCTCTGGTCCCCTAGTCTAAGATTGCTTGGTTCTCAACCTGACAAAAATGGCATCAAGATATTCTGGACATTGTTTGTGAGCAATTTTTATAAATTTTGTTTGGTATTAACTTCAATTTTTAACTCTGTTCTTCAACATTCCGCATATCCAGTTGTTGTAAATTCATCCTGGCCTACATGTTCTCCTTAGGATCCAGCCCCCAGGATGAAATCTTACCATTTTGTTCTGGGTGATTTGCAGTTTATCTTTCAGTTTTATGTCAAGGGCAAGAGTACCATGAAGATCAAACATAGTCCATATGACATTGTATAAGGACTAGTCATAAAGTCCGCGGAGCCTCGGTAGTAACACTGTGCGTATCTGAGAGGAACTTCAGCTGGCATTCACTTTCTATACAACACGTTCTTTATCAATCTCCTGACATCATGGATTCCAGATATCTTCCTGAAGAAACTGCGAAGTGATGGGTTCCCCCATTACACTGGTCATTAAAATTATTTACCCTTCTCAGAGTTTATGGTTTCCGTGCCAAAGATATGGCGTCAGTTTTTTTCGTAGGTATAACGATAATTAAACTACTAACCATTTTGCTGCAGGACTCCAGTTCCTGTGTTTAGCTATATCTTGTGGGTCCTTTAACCTGACACTAACAGAGCACTGTCATCTGCATAAAAGTTTGGAGTTTGGCACTTAACACTGATGGATAAGTCAATACAAAACACAACAAAGAATAATAAGGGACTCAGAATACTACTTGGCGGACTCGCGCATGTTATCGCAGAGTTCTGAATCTGTTTTGTTGCTTTGACAATTTGTCTACTGTTGTAAAGGTAGGACTTTAAACCATTCAACAGAACCAGTGCTATAGCTTGAATTTTCTTACATACTATGTTGTTGTTGACAGTATGAAGGCCTTTTGGCCAGTCTAAGGTTATCATTCCTATGAGGTTCCGATCTGACATTTATAGTTCTCATTAATCCATCAATTATTAGGTGATGGTGTCAGTTTTGAGTAAGATTCACTAAAGCCTGATTGGTAACTAATGGAGAATGTGTTGCTATGCTATTAGGTACTTACACTACTATACAATACACCACCCTCCCCTAGAGTTCTGGATATTACACTGAGTATTCTAACATGCCAATAGGTTGTCTTGGACATCAGACCTACTAGTTTTTTGAAGATAGATACTCTGGCCGACCTTGAACCTTTCCAGTACGGTATAAATGGTGATGGGACAAATTTGTTAGGTGAGGCAATGGGAATTTTTTTTTTATACTTAATTAAAAAAGCACAATACAAATTCATATGTATAACAAGTGCAACGATACATAACTAATACATGTATCCATTAAATCTGAAACAACAATTCCACATTCCCAATCCCAGCTCTTAACCTATACTTAAGAAGACACTTCAATTTAACATGATTGCCATCCCCAAAAATTCAATCATACATGTTGACTACACAAAAGGCAACCCACACCCAAACATACAGGATGGTTTAATAAAATCAAAAATAACAGTTTCTTACTCACAAGAGACTATATATTCCAAAGAAAATCACACGTAGTACATTTATACAAAAAAGGCATATACAAAGTCCATACCCATATAATCGGTTCCCTACCCCCTCATTTTAACAACTAATACAAGAACGTATAAGTGATTAATAATAAGAACCAGTACTTAAATAACACGTTACCCTTAGGTGAATTACCACCATTTACAATAACATTAATAAACCAGTGCATACAAAAAATAATATCATAAAAAGTACATATAACACAGATATGTACATTATGTTACTACACGGACATCCACAATATTCCATATCAATCTTTATAATCTTTATTTTACTACAAGTACATGTACATGGTATACAGTCCTAGCTGACAACAATGACATACTACTACATAGAAAGCCACTTGTTATGCTGAGCATCTCGGGCAAATTAAGTCAGTGTCCCAGGATGCGACCCACACCAGTCGAACTAACACCCAGGGCCCTATTTTACTGGATGGGGGAACATATACAACCAGGTGGAAAGAAACACCCCAATGTTTTCTATACTCTTCTGGGAATCGAACCCAGGCCCAACGCCGTGTGAAGTCGAGAGCGTTAACCACCAGCCAACCATAAACAACAACCAAGAAAATCAAACTGTCAGAATACATCACTGTATAAGCATGTAATTTATCCACATAAATTAGAGGATACACTTCATGTTACCTCAACTTTAAAACAACCCTATGTACATATTTAATAAAAACCAAAGCTAGAAAATATCATTGAACATATCTAATTGAGGGTCTCCCCCCACAAGATTGGGCAAATACTAAAAAGAACCCCCACATGAAAAACCAAACAGTACAGACCCCTACCACTAACTAAATCCTATAAAAGATCAAACTTGTTAATGACTAAACACAAAATTCTAATATCCCGATCTGAACACAATTAAAACTTCCATACAAAGTCATATTCTTCATTCTCTTAGTGCAAGGTATTAATTACAATCCTTCTTTTATAAAGAAGTACCGTTATCAGGAAATACAAAGGTAATATGGAAAGAATCTTCTATACACGTTTAAAACTACTAAAAAAGCTTCATTCTATACTAACGTACTGACTAAAGGTTTACAATACTATACTTCACTGGTAAATCATTTTTTTCACGTGTTCAGTACTACTTTTCCTACAAAGCCATAACATCCACTTAAACCCACCTCTCCTCTTGAGTGAGTGCAATAATATACCCAACCAAAAATAATGTAATGCAAGGCATTCCAATTATGACTATGTAACCAAGGTACTGAACGCCAATATCAAATATCTCCTACAGGAACATACCCATTTCATAAATATATTCCCTCACTACTCACCCTCACACCACCTTTTCCACACTGCTCCTAACGCTTACACCCCCCCCTCACAAAAAAGACCCTACCCTTTTGCTCCCCCCTGTCCCTAAAGCAGTGCTACAGAAAAATACGATAACCTATCGAAAAACTTTTGAATCCCCATCTCCTCCCATATATAAACCTATTCCTACACCTTGTCCTAAAAACCTCCGCTGCTAACTGCTTTTAGCCGTCAACTGCCGCCTGCAATCTGCCTCATACCCCAAGAAACATGCAAATAATCTGCCATGACAAATCTCAAAGCCCTACCCACCTCACTTGCTACCCACTAACCTCCACTGACAACGATCTAGAAAAACCAAACTCCCCTCCCCCCCAACAGCCTAATAACCCCCGCCATCCAGACTCTCACACACATTCAAAGAAGAACAAAAATATACCATAAAACATGAAATGCCGTCCACCTCCTCCACCACACAGAAAAAACCTGTTCCTCCTCAACAAACCCCATCTTATGCAACATATACATAGATGCTCACCACACCCATTAGAAAACGATACACCAACCCCTAACCCCCTTGCTGGTATCCGAAGCGTCCTGAACTGCCCTCCATATGACTCCTCCCATTATACATGGGGTATACTCTACCGCCCTGCAATGCACCCCTTCCCAACACCACACCCAAGCCACTGCTTTTAAACCTCAACCTTTTTACCTGCCCCACTGCCAACATGAATCTTATTACATCTTCCACACTTTTCTCAAAATCCCTACCACTCCACCAGTTTTCCTAGCATCCCCATCACCCTATCCACCCTAACACCCCTCTCCCCCCCCCACCCTTAAATACCCTGCTTAATATATAATACCATTACCCTAGTCCCTAATCCAACAAACCTAGACCCCCCTTTTCACCTCCGTCATGACCTACAACTTGGACAACCAGGCATGCCCTCCCTAACCCCCACACAAAAACCTCAACACCCTCCTCTGTATTCCTGAAGATCCTGCACCCTCAAGGGAAACCTCCGCTATCAACCCCAGACCTTGCTTACACCACCGAATCAATTACCAACACCCACTGCTGTAACGCCACTTCACTGGACCTCAAACCTTTTAACTTGCCTATAACCCTACTCGTGACTGCTTCTGAGTTAATCCTCCTACATTCCTGCAATTGCTTCATATACCATATCCCACACACCTTAATTCTATCACAAACCGTCCATCCCATCTCCTCCCCCAATCTCCCCCAACCCATGTTCCTACTTCCAATAACCTAGACTTTGCTAAATTAACTACCATTCCTGAAA